TCACTAGCAGACACACACTAACACACACACACTAACACTCACACTAACACTCACTAGCAGACACACACTAACACTCTCACACACTAACACTCACACACATGATTTTTTTAAATTTTTTTAAAATGTAATCCCCCCAGCCTCCTTACCTTTTGGAGTGCTGGGGGGATTCCCTGGGGTCCAGTGGGGCTCCTGGGCGGATGGCCGGCCGGGCAGGCAGGCGGGCGCGCGAGGGAGCACTCAGTGCTTCCTCTTCAGCTCCCTCGCGCGCCGCGTAGGGATGCCGGCGCCGGAAGATGACGTCATCTTCCGGCTCCGGCATCAGTGCGGTGCGCGAGGGAGCTGAAGAGGAAGCACTGAGTGCTCCCTCACGCCCGCCTGCCTGCCTGCCCGGCCGGCCATCCGGGGTCAGCGGGGCCAGCCTCAGGGGGGCCCTGGGGTGGTCGGCTCCTGGGCCCCCCAGGGGAAGAGGCTGGCCCTGGGCGTACATACCGGGTCGCAGGGGCGGCCGGGCCCCCTGGTGGGCCGGGCCCGGTTGCAGTCGCGACCCTGGTATGTACGCCACTGTACATGGCACTTACACGGATGTTGTGATACGTTTTACTGTTTTGAAATACTAATATTTGTGTTCAGCGAAGTCTCCTGAGTATAACAGTACCCCTCATGTACCGGTTTTATGGTGTTTTCAAAAGTTACAGAGTCAAATATAAGGCTTGCGTTTCAGTTTTTTCACATTGAAATTCACCAGATTGGTTACGTTACCTTTGAGACTGTAAGGTAGCCCGGGAATGAAAATTACCTCCATGATGGCATACCATTTGCAATAGTAGACAACCCAAGGTATTGCAAATGGGGTATGCCCAGTCTTTTTTAGTAGCCACTTGGTCACAAACACTGGCAAAAAAATTGGCGTTCATTTTTCACACACAAACAAATATTAACACTAACTTTGACCAGTGTTTGTGACCAAGTGGCTACTAAAACAAACTGGACATACCCCATTTGCAATACATTTTCTTTTCAATGCACCACAATATCCATGCAATTATTATGGTTCTAGTTAGTGGTAAGTAAATTGAATATTAATGTATCTTTACTTATAAACTCATCTTCACTTTGAGTGCCCCTCCATATAACAGATCAGTCATTAATATAAAGAATCAACATGTGAGTAGAGCAAGTACTTATTATAGTACCGTAAGTATGTACTTAAAAAAATCTAAAAAAAATACATGTATTCCTGCAACTTTTGGCATCCCTTGAAGATATTTAGCATTTTTGTATCACAGGTGTAAAACCTGGTGTCCCAGAAAATGTATTAAAGGAGCAACCCATGCCCCTAAAGCACTTTCCTTGCTGAAGTGCTTTATATGGTAGGGATGTTTTTTCATTTTTTTTTTGGTTTTTAATTTTACAAAAAGTGCAGATTTCAATAGAAATTGGCACTTTATAAATGTAACTTGTTACAAGCACCTGGCTGTTAATCAGACAAGTGGATTGTTAAACTCAAGAAATGGGCAATTGCTCGGAGCAACTGCCTTGCAAAGACTTATTGAGATGCATTGCTAAGTCTGTGATTAGTCAGCCACAGAAGGTCTGGGCTGAGTTAGTACGAAGGCTTGCAAAGGCTTTAGACAAGAGTTGCAGCTGAAGCTTCAGATTTTGCTAGCTGTTTTCATATATACTCCCAATGACATATGTGAAATGTAAATGCATGCATGTTTTCTTTGGGGGTATAGCTACTAACTAATGTTTGTTTTTATTTTGGTAATGGTACATTACATGGGAATTTAAATTGGAACATTCTGCTGTGTGATATACCCCCTCCTATAGGTCTCTAGCAACCACAATCTCCTTGATCTCAAAATATATTTTTAGTAGGTTAAGTATAACATAGGTTGTGCTAAAAAGTAAATTTTTATTAAAATGTAAACTAATCAAAGTATATCTAAAATGCACTTTGCCCGAGATGCCTTTTATATGTGTTAAAGACTCAATGACATTAGTAAGCCAATTATATTTGACATTAAATAAAATATTAATATTTAACAATGTGCATATAATGTGACACATTTGAAGGACAAAAAAAGGCTTAAGGGCATATGTGTGACTCACAATAACAAACAGAGAGTCCTACCACCTACACTCTTACTGACCCATACACACTTACACACATGGACACACAAACCCTGATTTATGCACGCATGCTCACATGACCTATACACACATGCTAACTAACCATTTTAACACACACAATATTTGTGCTTTTACGCCCATAACTCTCAAAATTATTAGTTCACCATTTAACAGATATTCCCTGCATAAATGGCAGTCTTAAGCACTGAAAAGGTTAATTAACAAACCAGTTTAACCAGTTCAGAGTCAGGAGGCAGATTGCTGGTTAGGGAATAGGCTAGAAGGAGGGACATGTTACTATGGTTATTGTGAAGCTGTTTTGTGGAAGTTTAGCAGTTGGTTTTTGGAGTTCGTTGGGGATAGCAGCGATGTAGAAGTACAGGGGCACAGACAGCCTTACTAATTTTTCTAAGGCTGCAAGTATGCGCTCTAAGCCCATATTTTTATCCTGAGACATGAAGTTTCATCTATCCAGAGCAGCAGAAAGCTTGATCTTCATATCATCTAAGATCCCGGGATGTTTAATAAAAAACTTGTAATTTTGTTTTAACTTTTATACTTTAGATTCAGTTGCTTTAATAGCCTTTTAAATGTTTTAACTGCAATTGTGGGAAATATATATTTAGTAATGCAAAGGATAATTGTCTAGTTAGTATAGTTAGTATTACAAGTGTTTAGCTAGAATATGTGTATTAATATTTGTTATATTTTCTTTAACATATTTTTATGAAGCATTATATTTTGCTGCACTGTGAGTGATTGTCATTTGGTCTTTACGTTAGGATATAACTCTGCCAAAATACCTTATGCAGCTAATAATCTAAAATTATAGCTGTACGAAATATAAAAGGGTTGGTTTTGAATGCTTGCAAATATATGTGAGCTTCCATTTACTCAATTGTTAGTGTAACTAGGTTACGCCAGGACACATGAATGGTGGCCATCTTGATGCTCTTTGAAGCACATAGTTGGCAGCCGTATTGGTTCTCCTAAAAGTTCAACACAGTAGTTATTGATAAACCTTTTGAATTGCGCAAACTAATTCATCCAAAACCACGAACCAAAACACACAAGGAAATACATACATATTGTGACATGCCTCCAAAACACCCTATTGGTGCATTGGGCTGTCAGTCATCAGAGGTTTCCATGGGAGTTAATAATACTAATTATTTCCAGTAGCAGCCCTGCAGCATGGAGCAGTACTGCATGTCTCCGAAGCATCTATTGTTGCCTGGGAGGCGTGACACAATCAGAGTTTCGAGGTTGCGGCCTGCCCCTAGCATTAATGCATGGTGATGTTTCGGCAACCGAGACTCTGAGGCACTTTTAGAGCAGCAAGAGAACAGTTGTGTCTTGATAGGCACACACATACACAATGACAAATATATAGCGAGAGAGAAAGAAACTGAGATAAAGGATGCACTTACAGGTCTTCAACAAAATATTTCACTGTGAAAAAATCCAAATGAATAAGTGAATCACATGAGTATGTGCATATATAAAAAATGTCAAACTCAGCTTACCAATGGTGAGTAGAATTTTTTTGGGAGATTGGTCACAATGGAAATGACCCCCACAATATCTTTCAAATTATTTATTTTACCAGGAAGGATATTTTCAGATTTCTCTCATTTTCAAGTATAAATTGTCACCTTACTCTCAGGAAAAAACGACCAAATAGGAGAGGACAAATAACAAAAGTACACTGGAGCTGCCAGGAAACCTTTAATTCCAAAGAAATGCTGTACAAGTAGAAAGCGATTAAGGTTGTTCAAAAGTATTACTTGAATCTCCGAAAGCATGAATGGGTGGGTGTACGTGAATTGAGTCACAATATGACAACAAACTGGTCTGTTAGTATCCGTTTGTGGATGATATTTTTTTGATCTGAAAGGATCCACTAGGTGATTTAATCAATATAAATAATGAGGTTAATAAAGCTCTAGCTCCTTTGGAGCTCACACTCACACATGATGTTCTGAATGCACATAAGACTTGGGCATTCGTATTCGTACAAATGGATTTCCTGACAAAAATCTTAATTTTTGTCCATTCGTACGAATATCAAATAACGAATGGCTAGACAAACAAATGAACAAACAAACGAATCGGTGTCCAATGAAATTCTTCCACGAGCCTTTCATATGTTCATTCATTTGGCCTTTTGTATTACACTGTCTCTGAATGAACGAATGGCATATATCATTCATTCTGAGATTGAGCTGAACTAAAGAATGCGTATGAATGAATGTGACATTCGTTCATTCGTATTACTAGTTCCACTTTTTGAATTACAGACAGGCAGTGTACTGTGTCTGTTCAAGTATACGTATTGCAAACTGCCAAACGAGCAATACAAACGGATGGCTCTATGTTCGTTGTTTATTCATTTGTTCTTTTCACTCTCGTATTTTATTACAATAATAATGGGAGTGAGCTGAATAACGTTCGAGCACTGAACGAACAAATCATTTGTGCATTCGTATCAACTGTTCGTGATTTTTCAATGCATTGCTTTAGCATAGGGGACAATACGGGGATGGTAGAAACAAATGAACTAATTTGCCTCAATTTGTTTATTTGTTCATTCCGATGCCTTGTCCGAAACAAAGAGGAGGGGTATGGGAGTGATCTGATTTTCATTTGTCTAATCAGCTCACTCCTGTGACATGATACTGTAGGGGCATATCCAGTAGTCAGAGCTTTAGCGTGGATTTAAAAAATAACCAGATAGCAGTATAAAAGCAGTCTTTCTCCGCCCTTCTTTGACTGAGTTTTGATGGTGAAACACTGTGCTTCTGTACTTTGCTAGCTTTATTACTTGTCTTAGAGAGTTTCTGTGAGTCTTGGTGTGCCTGCCATTTCTCACAACTTGTTAAATGTGAGAGACTATTCCAGAGATATATTTTAAAATTCTGGTGCTTTCTAAGAGCTGTGTACTGCTAATTTGTGCAGATACCACTTTTCAAACATGATACAAATTGCAATTTACCAGTCTGTAGCAGATACCTGCTATATAGCCTTGTTCATCAAAAATTACAGGGTCTTCGTAAAGTCCATGACTATAATCAATATGAAAAAATGAATATGCCAACACATACAGGACACTATAAGCCCCAGTGAATAGACTCCAACTCAATTTCATTCCGAAGAGCATGAAACTTATTTTTGAACACCACAACAGCATAAACGGTTAAATTATATCTTATTTCTAAAATTAAATCCAAAATGTATTATTCACTTTCTTGTATAATACACTCTTGAGGGCTGCTGTCATTGCTTGATTTCTGAGACTGTAAATGATTGGATTTAAAAATGGTGTTCCAACTGTGTATAGTAAGCAGAGTGATTTGTTTATTATAGCTGAATTGTCACTGGCTGGAATGCCATAAATGGTAAATAAGGTGCCATAATATGTGAAGACCACTACCAGATGAGAGCTGCAAGTAGAGAAGGCCTTTTGTTTTCCTGTAGTGGAGGGAATCCTCATGATAGTGCTAAAAATATAAATGTAACTTATAACAACAAACATAAACAGGAAAAGTGTTATTGGCGTTGCCAATACAACATTTGTTATTTTAACAATATAGGTATCTGAACATGAAAGCTTAAGGAGAGGAGAAAAGTCACAAAAGAAGTGATCTATAATATTGGGACCACAGAATTTTAGGGAGCGGACCAGAATAACAATAGTAAGAGTTACAACAAACCCAAGAAGCCAAGACCAGACAACCAATTGGAGCCGGAATCTGAAAGTCATGATAGTGATATATTGAAGTGGGTTACATATAGCTAGATATCGATCATAGGACATAACAGTTAGTAAAAAACATTCTGTTGTTGCTGACAGGCCATAGAAATGAAACTGAACAAAGCAACTGGTAATGGACATAGTTCCATTTTCTATTGCCATTATACGTAACAGATTTGGAACAATACTAGTTGAGAAGAGGATGTCAAAGAATGACAAGTGGCTAAGAAAAAAGTACATTGGTGAATGAAGGGTTCTTGATGCTGACACTAATGTAATAATAAGTAAGTTTCCAGCAAAGGTAATCAAGTAAATTAATAGAAGAATACTGAAGAGTAAATATTTAACATTTTGAATGTCTCCAAATCCAATTAATAGAAATTCTGTCACCATTGCACTATTGTTGTTGTACTTCACCTATAAGAAAACAAATATAAAACATTTTATACTGTATACTTGATAGATGTGTGCATCAGAAATAAAATCTTTATTGGCAAAAAGTACATTTCAAGTGAAATCAAAGCGACCAATAGAAACAGAGGCATAACTAGAAATCATTGGGTCCCGGTGCAGCCCCTCTCTGTGTCACATTCCACATTCATGCCCCCATGGGCGTAGGAACCCAAAAAAATCTGGGGGGGGATAGCATTTTTACTCGCCGGGTATATTCTTATTCCGTAAACTATGAGTTGTTTATCCCATTGCACAGCGCTACGGAATTTGCAGTTGCTATATAAATGATTAAATAATAACTTTAAAGGGTCACTACAGGGAAGGGATTTTACTTACCTGGATACAGCGCCGGGATCCTCCTGATGCTATTTCATCAAAATAACGAAATAGGAGGGTGCGAGCAGGGAGCAATAAAACGCTTCTATTCAGAAGCGTCATTGCTCTCTGGTGCGCATGCGCAGCTTTGCCGCACATGCGCAGATACTTCATAGGGCGGCATTCATGTCTCGACTAGGAAGCACCTCTAGTGGCCATCTTAGTGTCCATCAGTAATGTAAATACTGCCTTTTTATGAAATGGCTGTGCTTACATTAAAAAGCCTGCAAAGACATGCTATAGACACCAGAACTACTACGTTTAGCTGTTGTGGTTCTGGTGACTATAGTGTCCCTTGAATATAGAGAGGAAAAAAGAATCACCACAAATGTAAGAAATAAAATGTCTGTACCATTATTCTAAAAATTATTTAAAAAAAATAAAAAAATATGCACATTCCTAGCTTAATTTTTAGCACGACATATGACACAAACATTTTGTACTTTGCAGATTACTTTTTATATTTTTTTATACATATACAGATTGTGTAATACTGCCCCTGACTTGGGGTGACCACATTTCCTAACTGCCATTCAGTGACACTTTCAGAAATGCATTCCATACATTTTACTACCCGTCTCTACCCCTTCCATTTATATTAGAACCCCTTTCCATGTAAATTAGAGATTAGTGCCACGAATAATATACTAGATTGCCTACTTACAACCAGATGAGGATGATGATGGGCTCTAGCTGCAGTCTGGCTCTACTGGTCTGGTGTAGAACAGGCTCTCTGGAGGCTGTTTGTAACTGTGGTCACAAAAATCAATGTTCTGGGAGAATGGGAAGCAGCTCCATTTTTTTTAAGGCCCTTTACACAGCTCAAGGTCTGGGTCCCAGGGTCCACTTTCATGTTCCACCAATGAGTTTGTTCACAGGGGGTGGAGTAGGGGGATGTCTGGATATGTGTGTGGGGAATGTAATACCTGTGTTTGTGCGGGCGGTGTTTTGTATGTGTATGCGTTTGTGGGTGGCTGAGTGTGTGTGTACGGGTGGCTTAGTGTGTGTGTAGGGAATGCATTGTGTGTTTCTGTGTGTGTGTAAGGTTTGTAAGGATTGTGCGACAGGTGTGTGTGTGTAATGGATGTTAATCTCCTCCTCCTTGTCACTCTCTTTTCTCCCCTCCCTCCCTCCCTTTGTCACTATTTCTCCTCTCTCCTCTCTCCCTTTTGTCACTTTTCTCCCTCCCTCCCTCCCTCTCCCTTGTCACTATTTTCTCCCCTCCCTTCTCCTCCTCCTTTTGTAACTCTTTTCTCTCTCCTTCCCTCCCTCCCTTTGTAACTCTTTTTTCTCCTCCTTCCCCTCCTCCTGTCACTTCTTTCTCCTCCTTTCCCTCCCTTGTCACTCTTTCTCCCTCCCTTTTGTCACTTTTCTCCTCCTCCTTGTTTCACTCTTTTCTCCCCTCCTCCCTCCCTCCCTTGTCACTCTCTTTCTCCCCCTCCCTTGTCACTCTCTTTCTCCCCCTCCCTCCCTTGTCACTCTTTCTCCCCCTCCCTCCCTTGTCACTCTTTCTCCCCCTCCCTCCCTTGTCACTTC